AAATTGCTCTCTATCTTGAGCTGTTATTAGAATCGAATGTGTGTCCATGCCTGTCCAGTCTCTTACATTTTTGAGCCAGGAGAATTTTTTTTTCTGGAACTCTTCTTCTTTCCACTTTCCCTTTCATTTTTAGTCATAGGAAGTTGTATTTTTTCCTCTGTAAATATATCCTAGATAACTCGTTTTTTGGATAATTTTACAATATTTAGGAGTCCCAATCTTCTTAGCACCTCGTTATTGGTCATGTGCTGTGTCCAAGAGATCTTCAGCATCCTTCCAAAAACCCACATCTCAGAGGCTTCCGTACGTCTAATACTTGCCATTCCGAGAGTCCATGGAGTCCATGTTTCCACTCCGTATAGCAATATACGAGTGGAAATAAATATTTATATCCACAGTAAAACAGCGCAAGCTAGAATATCTTGAACATATAATGCGAAACGACCATAGATATAAACCTGCTGCAACTTATATTACAGGGAAAGGTCTACGAAAATAAAGGACTAGAAAGAAGAATATCATGGCTCGCGAATTTACGAAAATGGTTTTCCTTGACCATTTCAGTACTATTTCGAGCTACGGTCAATAAAGTTAGAATTGCCATGCTAGTTGCCAACATCCGTAACGGATAGGCACCACAAGAAGAAGAAGAATAGCAATATGGAATAAATGAATATTTTTACAAATTGGTATCGGATATCCAACGATAAGGTTGAGTTTATTAGAAATTTTTTCATTCTTTGAAAAGCAGACCTAGCATACTATACACGAGCACGTATTTCAACTGAGTAGTCAAGATCGTTTGTTATTCAGCAACCAAGATACTGGAATTTGTATACTTGTTCTATTTGTTTGTTGTAGATATGAATATCAATGTTGGCATTTGTTGTGTAACGGCCATTAGTTTTGTTTTATTTGTGTTCAGCTCCAAGCTATCTCATTCTCTGCTTATATCATTCAATAATGATTTTTATTCCTTTCTCAATATTTTCAAGTGGAATTTTGAAAGATCTTTTCGAAATAGATATTAAACAATAGTGAATAAAGTACACAGCCCTGGCAAACTCCTCTTTTTATTGACATTTCTGCTGTCATCATCATCATCATTCAGCCATACTCGTCCACTGCTGAACATAGGCCTCCCGTAGTTCACCCCACAAATTTCTGTCCTGAGCCGCCTGCATCCAATTTTGATGTGTCCGTTTCAGGTCATCCGTCCATCTTGTTGGTGGTTCGTCCTCTATTCCTAAATGCATCTTGTCTGGGTCTCCACTCAAGAATACGTTTTGTCCATCTGCCGTCCTTCGTTCTTGCGACGTGCCCTGCCCAGTTCCATTTTAAGGTTGATATTCTTTTCATTGCGTCAGTTACTCCCGATCTACGGCGCAATTCTGTGTTGGGTATTCGGTCTCTCAGGGTTAATCCCAACATGGACCGTTCCATTGCCCTCTGTGTTGTTCGAATTTTGTTTGCGGACGTCTTAGTAAGTGTTAGCGTCTCCGCACCATAGGTTAGAACCGGCAGCACACATTGATCGAAGACTTTTCTCTTCAAGCAGATGGGAAGAGCTGATTGGAAAACATCTCTTAGCTTTCCATAAGCTGCCCATGTCAACCCTATTCTACGTATTAGTTCATTGGTCTGGTTATCTACTGGTACTGTGTCGAATGCTTTCTCATAATCCACAAATATTAGGACGAGGGGTTTATTGTACTCTACACATTTTTCGATGAGGCTTCTAATAACTTGTAGATGTGTTCGCATGATTGGTAAAAGTCCATTTTGTTCGAAAGTCTGTTTGTTATGAACTTTTGTAAAAAGCTTGTATATGTGTGAGATGAGGCTGATTGGTCTATAGTTTACGAGATTTGTTAAATCTCGTTTCTTAAACATTAGAATGATCACTGCATTTTGCCATTGTGATGGTGTTGTTCCTCTTTCAAGGCATTCTGTGAAAAGTATGGAAAGCGTTGTATCAGTTTCTCGCCTCCTAATTTTTATGGCTTCGGCAACGACCCCGTCGTCGCCAGGTCACTTATTAGTTTTCATTTGTAGGAGAGCTTTTTTGATTTCATCAACAGTAACATCTGAGTATGTCTTCCGAGCCCTGGTTTAGAACCTTTGGTATGTTGTCAATTGGAACATTTCTTCTGTTTTGCTGTAGAGTTCGCTGCAAAATTGTCCGACAGTTTGTAGAATTTCCTGTTTATCTGTTATTATTTCACCCTTTGTGTTTTTCAGTTTGTAAATATTTTTCTTTCCTATTTGCTGTTTCCTTCTGAAGACTTTTAAACATTTTGTTCTCTTTTATGACTTTTGATATCTCCCTGGTGTTGTAGTCTCTTATATCTTTTCTGATGTTCTTAGTGATTTGTTTGTTTAGTTGTCTCATTTTTGTTAGATTGGTTCTGTATTTATCTGTTAGTTGTCTTCTTTCCTCTAATAGAGTTTTCGTGCTTAGACTTAGTTTTTCTTTCGTCTTTTTGGTTTTTTGGGCAACATTTTTCTTGTGCTTGTTTCAGAGCTTTGACTATTTTCTGGTCTAGTTGTTCGATGTTTATGTTTTCTGTTTCTTCGTTTTGTAATTTTTCTTCGACCGTACGTTCAAACAGTTTTGCATTTTCAGGTGGTACCCATCTTCTAACATTTGGTTTAGGAACAAGCTTCATTCTTTAAATATCGTATGACAGCTTCTGCTGTCATACTATTGTCTATATCAATATGGGTTTTTAATAAGGGCCACCGTGTTATGGTCTATACCATGTTATGTTAGCGTTTCTATGAGTTCTGTGTGTGATACTTGATCAAACGCTTTTTCGTAGTCGATAAAACAGAGAAACCCGTCTCTTCGCTGATCTCGGCATTTTTGTAGAAATATCTGGATGCCAAATAATGCCTTCCTCGTACGAAAGCCCCATACGAAATCCAAATTGATTGTCGCTCAAATTTCTTTAAAATTCTATGTATATATGTTGATGTACAATTTGATTAAAATTTTTAGAAAATGGCTTATTAGGCTAATTAATCTGAACTAGGAGCATCTATTTGCTTTATTTTTTTTTGGTAATGTCGATCTAAGCCAGTCTTCCGGGAAGATTCCAGTGATATATATTTTGTTAAAGTAGTGTTAAGGACTGAAGATTCTGTTCATTGATGAGTCTTATCATCTTTACATTAATCTCATCTGGACCTGAGGCCATTGGTGGCTTTGCCGTATCGATTCTTTTGTAACTTCCGATGTTAATATCAAGTATTGTATTTACACTATATTCATTTCAGGTTCTGTTCTCTCGTTATCAAACAGATCTTTAATGTATTTTTTCCATATATTTTCTACATTTTCTAATGTATCTTTTTGTAAAATTGTGTACCCACACATATTTACATCTACACTTATTCATTGTCATAAATGTCACCTTCATAAAGCAATTACTCAATAAATAACACACATTTCAAAAATATATCTCTGGAATAAGTATAAATAACTTTTAATAACACAATAATATATTACACCACTTACATTTAACAAACAATCTCACACATATCTCAAATTCATTGGATCAAATCTACCTCCTCAAGAACTTCCCGTTTACTGTCAAACAACTGCAATAATAGTATTGAGTTCTCCATTCAACAATATACAGTAGTTTCAAACATGTTCTACCATCCATCTAGTAATAGAGTACCGGCATGTAAGTAATTTTATTTTATTTCATTATTTATTTGCTCATTTATTAATTTATTACAATAGAAGAGATTTTATGACAATTTGTGGCCTTAACCTTGTCCTTTTAACTTTTTTAAAAAATATTTATACCTTTTATTCAACTCAATCATTTAAATAAAACCACAGACAGGTAATATTGGCATAATTATTGTAATTTATAACATCTAATTTGTTTATCTTTATTAGACAACACCCTAATATGGGTTTTTATCATTTCAGCATTTGTTTAACTTTGTACCGAGACCTGAAGATGCTTTGCATATTGTAGAAAGCGAAACCGGTCGTCGGATAGTTAAATTAAATTGATTGTAAGTCTTATTTATTATTTCTTAACTTCTCAAAAAAAGGAAAAAACAGTCATGCTGACTTTATACCAATACTTGGAAGAGTTGAAAAACGCCAAGGAAGAAACAAATGCTAAGTTAAAAAAATATTGTGTTGTTAAATAAAAGTCTGAAAGACAAGGAAAGTGACTTTAATTCCAATGACCATGAAGATGATGCCCAATGTTTATACTGAAAAGACTTTTATTCAACTTTCCGTGAAAAATGGGTAGTATTCTCATCGTGCTACAGTTGGGCAGATAATTTTTGTGTAGCCGTTGATAGCGAGGATGAAGAATCAGTTTTCATCTGTGAATTATGATTCACAATTTCGCCAATTAAGAATTATGTTAGTGCTAATGATAATAAAAGTTATTTTTCACTAATTATATTTTTAATCCTTGTTTTTTTTATGACTGTATTCATTAAAAGCTATTAAAAATTGAATCCTGTTCTAGCTCGTATTTGGGCTGGAATGGGAAAAGTGAACTACTGTGCACATCAAGTAAAATTGTCAACAATATTGGATTTTTCTAAAGGTTTATTCTATTTTTTGTTTTTTAAAAGAAGGTAAAGTCCCGATAAATATTATTGTCTAGCAATACTAGGAAACGTCCTTTCATAATAATTTCGCAAAATTGATATTTAAATGCGCGGACTTTGTTTTTTGTTTAACTGTAAAATGACTAAACTCTTATTCAATTCCTGTTACTATATAAACAATAAATATAAAGATAAAAAAATAACATGAACCATACGTGACTTTTCAAAAAAATATATGAAAAATACCGTTTTTTCATTACATTAGTAATTATTTAAAAATGATTCCCAATACAAAAGTCTAATAACACTCATACATCCAGATTTAAAAAAAGGTCATGACTAACTGTAAACAAGAACATTCTTAATGTAATCACCCGATAAGCAAGGTCAAAGGTGCATTCAAAGATACCAATTAACAGCGTGGCCAACCCTCAATATAAGATCTTCAAACCTCTCCGCATTTCTAGTTCAAGTTGAGTTGCCTTGACATTGCCTTCCATACTTTCAAAATGAACAAATACTTCGTTTTCATTGCCATCGCCTTCTTGGCCATCCAGGTAAGTCTTTATTTTATTTTAATAATCATTCACTGTATTTCAAAGCTTTAGTGTGAAGTAAAAATAGAAATTCTTATCTAAAACTATTTCATTTAAAAAATAATAATAGCTAAACTATATAATCTAACAAAAATTGTAATTAGCTCGTTTATTTTATTTTGAAAAGATATTCTTAATTTTTCGACCAATTCTTTCACTTGATTGTACTTCATCGTAGATTTCCTAATCTCTCTCTGAAATGACTTTTTCCTTGTATGATTTTCTTGTATTTTAATTTTTATGTGCCTGGAAATTTTACCATACCAGCTTTTTAGATAAGTTTTTTTATTTAATATTATTATTATTATATTCATGTAATATTCCAAGGCTATTTTGTTTTACCAAAATAATAAAGTCTTAATAAAATTAGTACATATACGATTCTTCCGTAAAAATCCGTACAAAGCTGTTTGTCATTTTCATACAGCTCTCAATTCTTAATTTTAGAAATCAATTATAGTATAATAGTCGGCTACTTAGCAGCTTTGCTGATCTATCAAGATTTTAAGTCATTATTTCAGTCTAATATTTCTTTTTTTTTTTCTCTTGTGTTGGGATGTTTTTTGCAATAATATTTTGGATTGTGAATAGAGCTGTTTATCTCACACATTGTAAAACATATACTTGTTGATTTGCTCTAATAGTATATGTGCGTAGCGTAAGGAAAGCCGTAACAACCTGTTTGATTGCTTTTCTTATCCCATTTTCCGACTTATTCCATAATGTGTCCTTATGATATATCGCAGATCATACAGGTCTGATTCACAGAATATCTTCTGTTTTAGTAAGACAAGTAGCGATCTTCTTCTCCTTCCTCTTTATAAGCAACTCTGCTTGTTCATTGGCAGGTTAATACCTCTATGGAAGGTTGTTACTCCATATTTTGCACGGTCGTCCCATACTTCTTCTGCTGATTGGTGACTTATCTCTTGCTATTTTGACGACAAGGGTCTCCTCCATTCTACATAATTGGTTATTCCATTATTTTTTTTCTATTTTGTGTCCATTAATTTATACACTCTAGATCTTTCGTTTCTAATGCATATGTCATTATTATTCTTACACTGGCTTTATAAATTCATGACTTCTTCTCAGTGTTAATTTGACTGTTTCGCCATATAGTGTTATTAAGGCATCCTGCTAGTCCATTTGCTTTTTGTACTTGATCTCTTTGTCCTGGTCTCCATAGCTAGACAGTGTAATTCCCAGGTATTTTATTTCCATTACTTGTTCAATACTGATGTCATCAATTTCTATTTTCCATCTGGTTGTTTCATTGCTGGCTACTATTGTTTTAGTTTCCTATCATATTAAATTCTTTTGCTCTTATGTTAAATCTGTGGAGCAGTCTTTGCAGACTATAGTTATCTTGGGTTATCAATATTGCGTCGTCTGTGTAACAGAGTATTTTTATTTCTTTGTTCCCCATTCTGTATTCTCTTTCTTTGTTACCGCTTTTGATGATTTCATCCTTGATTAAATTGAAGACCATGTGGTTCAATGAATTCCCTTGTCTTATTCTACTGCCTATTTATATAGGTTCTGTCAGTTGTCCATCTATTCTGACTTCCATTTTGTTTTGGTAGAGTAAAGTAGTAGCCATCTTGTTACCAACAATTCTTTTATAGCCTAGTGTCCATAATTATACTTCACCTATTATTTAAAGTTATTCCAAACTGTTGTAAACTGGACGACACTCAACCAATCTCGAGGACATACAATTTTTTCCAGGTATATTGACATTTAGGAGTATTAATATCCATTGCTACTAGATATATGTTTTTGATCTGTTAGTATAAAGATAAGAACACATTAAGTAAGAGCTTGAATTTGTGTTTTACAGTCATCGTTTATCTGAGCATCTTCATTTTTTATTGTATTGTATTCATATTGTATTAAAAAAATTCTCATACCTCAAGTTGGTCTCACATATGATCAAATTCTCCTTCATATGATCTTTTTTTCTTCTTCTTTCAATTTTCTTTCTTCTTTTAATATCCTTCTTTAATCCAAGTTCATTCCTTTTTAAAATGCATAGTCTTGTCCAAACTCGTTTTAATAATAAAATCTTCTGTAACTGTTTCAGTCAAATATTGTTTTTTTTTTAGAAATAATTATCATTTTCAGTGCATCTGTTGCTCTGTTGATATCGCAATAGTGCTAGCTACTGGTTAAAAATTTTCTAGCCACATGTAAACCGTTCTATCATGTGCCAAGCCAAGACATTAACTCATGCTAGCATACCGGGATATTGCTATTCCAGCTTGAAAAATTAGCCTCGTGTAATCCGAGCATAATGGCTAAACTATACCTGGAAGTACAAAGTAAGACACGCGTTTTTTATTGACTTGCATAGACTAGCTTGAATCAAACATGAAACCTTAATTCAAATCTTACAACAAAACAGTTTATTAAAGTTTGAATTGCCATTATGTATTAACTATCCACAACATATGTTGTGACCCACTCTCTGTATCAATTTCTATGCTGCATGCATTAATTTGAAAGTCATTACTGGAAAAATGTTTGTCTAAAAGGAAGTAAGGTATCTATTTATTTATTTATTTATTTAGAATGGTCAGCCCTGTGGTTCAAAATCGGTAGAACTTTTATCGACAATATAGATCTAAAAAATAAAAATTGCAGAAATTGATACTTTTTTTTGTCAAAAACTTTTTTCAGAATTGCCAAATATCTAGGATTACTTCCATGATTATCAATTCTTTCGAAAAAAATGTGTTCTTAGAAATTTTTAATTAATGTTATAATAATAAACAAAACTAATTTTTGCGAAGATTAACAATGTTATTATAATATTTTATCGTTTACTAATATGTTTATATAACATTGAATTAGTGTAATATTAACAAAATCGGTGTTGATTATTATTAACCATTGAGGTTAAAATATTCGACATTGACCGTTGCATCTCTTTATCAGTTGTTTGAAATTCGAACGCAATAGGAAAATTATTTGAAATATCAGGAATGATACCAATTATACATTTCTTAGAACTGATATTTGGTATACTGTGAAAATAGTCGATAACTAATCGGTAATGGTAATTTGTCTAACTCTTCAATATTTCTTGTTCAATACTTGTTCTATTGATTTTTCTTGATATATTTTCTCATTTTTTTCTCAAAATAAATTACAAAGTATAAAACAATCGGTACAATTTTTGAAACTTGTTTGTTAAAGAACTTTCGATCGGGAAAGTGAAATGTCAAATACGTCTTCGTCCCTATCCATCTCCTTATTTCGCAAACCACGTATTTTCTCCTATATTTCTCATGTTGTTATGTCTTCTTCTTCTTCTAGTTCCATGACCGTTATCGATCGTTGGATATCATATTGGCTACCATATTCGCTATCGTGACTTTATTGACAGCAGCTCTAAATAACGATGTAGTGGATTGTCCATACCATTGCCTTAGATTTTTCAGCTATGAGGTTCTTCTTCTACCAAGACTACAATTACCTTGGATCTTTCCCTGAATGATTAGATGTAAAAGATCATATGTTTTAGAGTATCTCATAATGTGACCGAAGTATTCCAGCCTGCGTTTCTTTATTATATTGACCAGTTGTGTTGTTTGGTTCAGCCGTCTAAGGACCTCCTCTTTTCTAACTCTGTCGACCCAGCTTATTTTTAGTAGTTGTAGGTATACAAACATTGCAAAGGCTGTTAAGCATTTAAAAATAGCCTAATTTAGAGTCCACGCTTTCACTCCATAGAGCAGGACAGGAAAGATGTAGCAAGATGTCATTCGAACTATAAGGTCAATGCTAAGATCGTGACTGCAAAGTATGTTTCTTATTTTTACAAAGGCAGCTCGGGCTTGTTCTATTCGGCTTTTAATTTCTGCGGCTGGATCCCAGCTCTCATTGATATGACTGCCGAGATACATGAATTTCTTTACTCTGTCCAGTGTGGCATCTCCGACTTTTATGTTATGTCTTCCGTTATTATGTCATCTCATCGATATTATCAAGAAAACTTGTTCTGAGTCTTGCTCTTCTACTCTGACCAATAGTTTTATTATAATTTTATATTCTAATATTCTATAAAGTTCGAAGTTGTTTCGACTTTTCTAGACACCATTGTCATCATCCGCTTTATAGATTTGCCTTAGTACTTTTCTTTATTATTTAGTATTAGTGTTTTGTTGAGCTTTACCTTTGTATTTCTCGATATAATTGTGGATTTAAGAAGGAGATTGAGCCCAAAATAGCACCTATAGGCCTTGAAAATTCTGTGGTAGTGTTATTTTTAGTGTTGACAAACTCTCCCAGGGATACAAATTCATTAACTGCTTGGATGGCGTCGTTATCTATAACAAGAAAGAGTAGAATTTGTGGTTGCGTGCATATTGTTATGTACTTCGTTTTGTCGGTGTTTATTATTAAACCCATGTCTGTAGCCGATTCTTTTAGTGCTCCATACGCCTCTTGTACAGCATTTTCTGTTTTCTCACCAATATTGATATCATCAGCATAGGCAAGGACTTGCACTGACTTGATATATTGAACCAGTGTTTGTGATTTGTGACATATGTATATTTTATCCATAGCCGGATTAAACAGTATAAAAGAGAAACGCAACCCGTTATTTGTTCTAAAAGGGTCAGATAGTTCCCCCTGGATTCGCAATCTACATTTAATTTTTTTTCAAGAGTTAGTATTGATAAATTAACCAACTAATTTGATACTCTTAGCTCTACTATTGCTCTGAACATGTCACTTTTATTTACTGAGCCGTAGACTACCTTGTACTCTAAAAATATGTGATCCATGACATATGCCAGTGTTTTTTTCTAAAAATTTTTTCAGGGTTGCAATCTGATAAATTGTCGACCAGTTACCAAACTTAAACGATGAACAGTTCAGATTTTGTTAAGGGTTGGGGACTAGAGAGGTCCTCTTGAATCTTACAGTGCTATTATAAAAATGTCGAGATCAGACAAAAGATGTTTATATGTGTTTCATAGATTACGAAAAGAAGTTTGACCTAGTAAAACAAGGATTATATCAACGATATATCAATTTTATTAAAACTCTGTATTGGGATCATATAGCTTCAGTCAAAGTAGTCCAGTAGTGTCCTTATAAAAGAGGAGTCCGCTAGGAAGTGTATTCTGTCATTATTTTCTTTAATCTTTATTCCAAATGAGTGCCTAACCTAACCTATTTTCTTCAATCTTTATTCCGAATAAGTGTTCAAACCGTACTGGAAAACATCCAAGAAGGCATTAATGTTAGTGAAAGGCTAATGAACAACATACTATATGCCAATGATGCTGTGATTCTGGAGGATTCCGCGGAAGGGCTTTAACGACTTCAGTAGCAGATGAAGACGAATCATTTGGTCTTAAAATCAATACCAGTGAAACAAAAGCATTAGTTAAAAGTGAAACTGGAACAAACCATGAAGTGGAGATATCCAGGAGTGGCTATTGTACCTGTTGAATATAAAGCACGTGGTGGTCGTGGGTATTAAGGTATAAAAAAATGCTTATTAAAAGCTTAATCTTTTTATTTTAAAGTAGATCTTTTCGGAATTGAACCATTCCATCATCAGTTTAATAAAAAGTTGTCAAAAAACATTGTATGGCCACATGAAAACATAGGAAGGACCTCCGTATTAAAAAACAATCCTCATGGTGTTTATGAAGGTAAATGCAATAGACTGTTAGTTTGTTGATTACTAAAAACTAAAAATGGGGGCATCTTACATGACCCCCTGTAGTTGGTGAGGTTTTATTGACTTACATTACCTCTGATCTGTGCTGGAGTCTAGGGCTAACTGAGGGCTAGTCAGTTTAAGCTTGAGTTTTGGCCTACTCCTTCTTCTACTTCCCACAGGTTGTGATATAAGGATTCTTCTAGGAGGGTTGTTTTGCTGTGATATTGCCAGATGTCCTGCTGATCTTAGTCTTCCTATTTTTTATATAGTATTCCTTTTTTACTAGTATGTTTTTTACATACTATGTATTTCTTTATAGATGTTATACTAAGTTGGCTTGTAATTATTCTTTCTGTTACTGTTTGCATCTATCTTTTAACTTACTGTATATTCATGACTTACTTTTAACCAATTAAATTTCTTTTTCTGGGAGATTGAGCTCATTGTATCATATCTTCTTACACTGTAGACACAGTTACTATCATACTTTTATGCTTACAGGCTGTTGAGTCCAGACCAAGAGCTTCCCAACAACAACGTCCAGCTGTCCAAAATGTAGAAGAAGGCGATGTCACCAAGAAAGCTCAAGATTTAATTAAAAAAGCCGACGAAGTCCTTACCGGAAACCTTCCTAGTACACAACAAATCATTAACAATGTAGAAGAAACCGGCAAAAAATTGGTCAGCAACATCAAAGATTTCAACGACTACCTCAAGACCCAAGTAAGTAGATAAAACAAATAAATTATTTCATTATTAAATCTTTTTTAAATAAATATATACAAGAAATAATAAAAACACTATTTATTCCTATTGTTATTCATCTATTTTTGATACATAACCAATTTAATTATCATTTTTAGCTTACTGCAAACAGAGGTGATATCGACAAAGTATTGAAACAAGTATCTGACAACTTACACTCTGCCAGTGAAAAAATCCAAAAAGATGTTTTGGGACCAGAAGGACAAAAGAAGGCTACTGAAATCAGAGAAAACTTACATGCACAAATAAAATCCGCTGCCGCTCAAGTTGAAAAGCTCACTGCTGCTGTTAAACCCGAAGCAGAAAGTAAGTTTAGTTTTAGTTAAATATTCTTCTTCTTTAGATGCCCCGTACATTGTGAATGTTGGCTATTAGCATGGCAATTCTGATCTTGCTTGCTGCACTTCTTAATAATTCGACCGATGTGAGCCCGAATCATTTCCGCAAATTTGGAGCTACGTGTGCTCTCTACTGCCTGATCGTTGCCAACGGTCTATTTTCCCTGATTCGATTGAAGTAAGCGATACTTCAATCTTTTCTCATCGTGTCTCAATCCACATTTTGAGTGCTTCTAGTTTTTTCATAAGTTTCTCCGCCAGCTTACAGATCTCTGCACTATATAGTAATATCGGAAAAATGTATCATTTAACTAGTCGTAGTTTTCCAGTTTGAGGAAGAAAAAAATCTTTGCCCTTATTGAGCAGTTTTCATGTTGTTAAATGTTGCACCATTCCATGTCTCCCATTCCAATTTTGCAATTTAATTTATTTTAAAGTATACGCAAGATTCTATATAGTTAATTAGTATGTTTTTTATCAGCAGTTGCCAAGCAAGTGGTTGCTGTTTGCTTATCAGCGTACATGTTGTCTTCTTTTTGAAATTGAGACTCAGGGCATAGTCCTCATTGACTATATTCACCCTTTCTATTTGCTCAGAGCACTGTGTCATCGGCATATATTTTGTTGCATATTAGCTCATCGTGTGTTTTTATGAACCGTATTTAAATATTTCCTCGTAGTAGATATTGAAGGCTGATGGAGATAAAATTATCCTCCGTCGGACACCCTTTTCGTCTTTACACTGTCAGTAAGTTTATTATCTTCTATTTTTAATTTCGCTACTTAACCCCAGTATAGTTGCTCCTTCTCCATATATTAGATATCCATCGTCGGATATCCACGTTTATAAGATCCTTGATGGCTCCAAGATAAAATTTTGAATTTATCTAATTTTACTTTTACTTCACTTATTTCTATTTCCTGCATTCTTCTTGGCCTCCTTCAAAAAATTATTTATAAAATTTAAATTATTTTAATAATCTATAACACTAATTATATCTATTAACTAGTTATTAACTTTTTGCAGAATTGAAGAACGACTTGTTGGCTGCTGCTAACCTCTTTTTGGAAAAAGCTGGCAAAGTTACCGATGACTTGAAAAAAGTAGTCGCTGAACACAAAGCCTAAGTGATCTAGTATTTTATATTTATGATGTTTTAAATTTATATGTAATATAAACATAAAACAATATTGATATTTTATTCGAACATAATACACAAAAGTCGACATTATTCTAGGTAGTCGTAATATATATGTAATATTGAGAAATACGTTTATAACTGTTAGAGCTACTGCACTTGAAATGCTGCTAAAAAAAATGAGGAATAAGGTGGCTTATGGTAGTCAATTGGGAGTTTATTTTATTTAGCGTATGGACTTTCACAGTACGATAAATATACAAATACAATTACAATAATATACACATACATACCATATATATTATTCAAACACTAAAAATAGTAAAAATAGAATGAATAGAATGAATGACACTAAATATTAATGTCCAATTTACATAGCCATTCAATTGCTTCTGGGGAACATTCCGCAAAGTCCTGGAGGTTTCCACGGTAGGCACGATTCAAGCAGTCTGAAACACAATGGCTTATGGTCTGTCTAGATTCTCCGCAATCGCACTGTGGACTTTCTGCACGACCCCACCTGAACAGAGAATCAGCACATTTACCATGTCCGGTACGTATACGATTAAGCCTTGCCCAAATGGACCGGGGCAGATTTGATCCGATGAAACCCTGAGTTGGGGTGGATATCTTAATATAGTCCGATTCTACTGTTGGCATCCATCTTGTTGTCCATTGCCTATGTATATCATAGGAATTACCAATTTTTCGGGCAGATCGTATTGGAGGATTTCTAGATCTCAATCGTTGGTGCTCTTTTGAGATCTCTGGGATATCTTGATGTATTGGTAATTGTACGTTGGCTACAATTTTCTGGTACTCTCTCACGAATGCTGCTGTACGGCGCAGATCTGGTGGAGCAATATTGCTCAGAGTAGGCAGCCATCTCACTGGCGTTGATTTTATTGTTCCAGTGATTATTCTCATGGTTCGGTTAAGTTGGACATCGATTTTGCTTGTATGTGCACTATTTAGCCATACTGGTGCACAATATTCTGCCACTGAAAAAACCAAAGCTAGAGCAGAGGTCCGAAGAGTATCTGCAGAAGCACCCCAAGTTGTTCCAGCAAGTTTTGATATTAAGTTATTTCGTGTTCTTAGTTTACCGGCTGCGTTTGTAAGATGACTTTTGAAGGTGAGTGTTTTATCAAGTGTGACGCCTAGATATTTGGGGTTGTTGTTATGTTTGATAGCTGTGTCATTTAGAGTTACATTGAGAGTATCGCCCGCAAGTTGATTCGACAGGTGAAAGAGACAGGTTTCAGTTTTGCTTGTGTTAGGACGTAAGCGCCAGTTCTTAAAATAGTTACTTAGTGTAGATAAGTCCTCGTTTAGAGCTCGTTCTCCTGCTTCTTTACTATTATCTTGGAAGCCAATGGCCAGGTCGTCAGCATAAGTAAATTTTCTCGATTTTGTTTCAGGTATATCTGCTGTATAAAGGTTAAATAATCAAGGAGCTAGCACTGAGCCTTGAGGTAAGCCGTTGTTAAGTTTTCTAACGTTACTCTGTGCATCATTCATATATACCTGAAACAGTCTGTTAAGTCAGTAGATTGTTTATCAGCTGACAAGTTTTGAGGCAAGGTATGATTTTCATCAGCTTATAAATAAGGCCCTCTCTCCACACCGTGTCATAGGCAGCCGTGAGATCTATAAATGTTATGGCAGATTTTTCGCGTCTTTCAAAGCCAGCTTCAATAAATGTAGTTAAGGACAGCACTTGGTCACAGCAACTTCGCCCTCTTCTAAATCCAGCTTGTTCAATTGGTATAGCATCCTCAATGGTGTTACATATTCGGTTATGGGAGTAGTATAATATTTAGACTATCTTCATCACAGCTGTCACCACTTAAAGTGTCAACACCAGTTGATGATGTAGTTAGAGAATTGATAAGCTATTCATCATAAGGACGGCTGCTTTGGTCGATGTAAAGCATCAAGTTTCTAAGATGTTGTAGTTTGTTCGCTGGAATTCCCAATGGCTTCGTGAAAAGTGGTCTTAATGTCGATTGTGATGGTGCCTAGATTTTCTAACAAAGTCAACAGTCATAAAAGCAGATTCAACCTTGTATGATGTTTTCTAAAAAAATATCACTGGACTTTCATAGCTGTAACGCAGCATACTTATCTTGTTTCATGGTACTGGATCTCCATTGGTACTGACTTTATATGTTGACAGTAGTTTGTCAGCATTGCTTTGAAGTGCAAAAACTGGTTCTGCTCCATTTCGTTGACAATAATAGGAGATTTTCTTGTAATCAGTCTTATAAAGTTGGCCCAGTCTCTAGGGATATCAATATTGGGAGTAGTTACTCTCTGTGTTTTTTCTATAGCTACATGAATCGAATCAGCTTCCATATGGGTGTATCCTGGAAGAAAAAACTTATTGCGTTATATTCACATGTCGTCCTTTATTCCGGAAGTGTTTAATACTAAGTAGAAACATTACACCAAGATATATGTTTTTGTTTGGCCTGGGCAATAGTTACTATAAAATATAATTTCTCTTATGATCTCGGGAAGATTTTTCAAGTAAGCAAATATACAAGATGCAATTTCTTGACCACCACAGTTTGCTACAGTTTCGTTGCATAAGTAACAAATGGCTGAGTTGCTTGTAGTATTGGATTCAAAAAGAGTTAAGTTCAACGTCCCTAGTTTCCTTTTGTAGAAGGAGTAGTTGTTTTTTAGTAACGGTGTAGGGAGACATTTTTGGAGGTCAAAGCTAATCACAACTGAACCTGGGTTATCCTTACATCTGTTCCTGTCATACTTTTTTTGAGGTGGCTATATTTGTCACATTTACCGCACATATCGTTGCTTAGCTTGTGAATAGATAAATTAAGTTCCTCCACCAAAATCTTTGATAAACTTTTGGGCTTAATTTTATCATCAGTAAAGATTTGTACATGAAAGCTATACATCTGTGATATTAAAAGATCAGATGATAGATAAAGCTTTTTAGTATAAGAGCATGACTAGTGACTCTGATATGTCGGGAACATATTGATGTGGGCCTTTTTTCGTTCTTTACCTTCAGTGATATTATTGGGTGGTTCGTATGCTTTTCTCTTTGATCCACCGTACGTATTCCTGACTCACTATTCCTTTGTTTCTCAACAAGTACCCGTACCTTCTTTTCAGTTAAATCGAGAGTGCTTAGATACATTGTTTTACATACTTCTATCCAGCTGTTATGCTCTTTGGTGAAAACATACCTTCTAGAGTACTTTCTTCTACTCTCTTCTGTTGATTTTCTTAACCGCTCAACCTTTTTTTATTACCTCCTCGACATTATTTGCAAATATTGGTTTTGCTCTTCAGCTGAGTGTTTATAGAAACTCTCAAAGATACATAATCTTTCTTGCTCAGTAAACTTTTCATTACATTTTCGCCGACATTTGCAAGATTCTCCGATATGCTTGGCAGGAACAAGTTACCTTTTAATAAATGATACTGTTTTCCTGCAGCTTTAGGACTCTTCCTTATATGTTTTCTGGCTGTCTTTTGCGTTTTCTCGCTAATTGGCCTTCATCTTGCTTCTTCCTTGTTCTACATTTCCTGGTCAAGGTATGTACCCCAATAACGTCTGCAGCCACATGAACTTCTGTGCATTTACTGTACCTCTTTTTTATCGCGAAGTGATATCAGATCTCATATCAGAGTCAGATGAGTCGGAACTGGGAATAAATTCATTCAAGCTGCTTTGATTCACGTCATCATGCTCTTCTTGTGCGATATCAGAAACAGCTGTTGAACTGTGCACTTCCATTACTTGAGGCTGCGTTGTACTGCATACTTTCCCAGAATTATATGATTAATGAAGAATAGTGTCAGAGCCAGAAAAAGATGTGCCTGGTAACGAGCAACTTGGATATCAAACATTAGAGTTGTTTGTCTCAGATTTACCTAAAAAGAAAGTTAACAAAAATCAATCTCGAGTTCTAACAGCAGGACTTAAGTGGGTCTGATGACACCGGTTAGCGAAAGCTGATATTTTTTTTATTTTCTTGCGTTATTCCTGTTATTTTTAGATTATTCGTTTGCATTTATATAAAAAACAGTTCTTTTCAGAACTATTGAGCGACGTATTCGTATTATTAAGATAACAATATGAATTCAATGTCAAGTACTAGTGGTAATTATCCTTCTCCATATAAAAAACGTTATCCTTCTCCATCTAAAAAAACGCCGAGTATATTTGGGTCATTTATCATCAAATAAAAAACAATGCATTTTAAACAGGTTCAAACAAATAAAAATTGATAATCCTGGAATGAAAATAACAGCCGTAAGTACTGCGCTAATTTTAGGTGTTGCGAATTCAACTATTTACAGAACAATTAAAGAATATAAGCAGACTGAAACAGTAAGATGTCCTGAAAATATTGGCAGTGTTGACCTTCTATCCTTGTAACATATGATAAAAGAGTTAAAACGAAAAATATATATTGGAAGTGAATTGGAGAAAATTATTATTCAAACATAAACAAACAAAGTTAGATTAGAATCAACGTGTGAGGTTGTCCAATACTGATTACTGGATTACCGCAAGGCCGAGATAATCAACCAAAAAGAAGATGTATTTGGTGAGTTTTCTAGTAACTTTCTTGAAAGTAAATCTGTCATAATATTTTAACACAATTTCAATGTATTTCTTTCAAATTATTTTTTAAAATAATTATACACATATATCTTTGTCTTTTTTTATTTTCGCTTGACTAAAGTACTATAGGTTTTGAAAACGATGTGCCGAAAAGCGACAACGAAAGTATCCTTCTGCCCATCTGTTATACGTTATATTACGTTATATTAAAAACTGGTACAGAGCAGTGTGGAAGAACCTAATAGAACATTAAACAAGTGGGCTTAATCACAAATGTAACCAGCGACCCCTCATATTCAAAGCAAGAATAATACCGTCTAGGCATAATTTTGTTATTTTGTTGTTCTTGTATTGTATTGTTATAGTTTTTCCAAATTTAGTACGTTTTTGTGGTCAAAGACGAACTTATATATCTAATTTTAAGACTGTAAGATTTTTCCTTCAATGGTAATCACACAGAAAAACGAGCGTAATAAAAAATTTTTACTTAGTATTCTGACAGAAAGCTAGGCTTAGGCATTAACTTTTCCAAAACCAAAAACCCCCATGAACAAGTTACACCTAACATACAAATAAATGTTATCATCTTTCAGAGTTCCCAAAGTTTCATATACCTGGGAGGGAGCTAAATAGTCAACTAGACCACTCAAAAGAAGTTAGAAGACGCATTAAAATGGCAAGATCTGGTTTCATGAATATGCATAAAATGCTCTGTAACCCCAAGTTGCCAGTCTCAATAAAATTGAGAACACTAAAGTGTTATGTGTGGTCTGTATTAGTATATGTGAGACCTGGACATTAAAACAGTATGACGTCAACAAATTAAATTCAATTGAAATATTAATTCTTCTTCTTCATGTGCCGTGCTCGATTATCGAACGTTGCTCGGAAAAGAGATGCAGAGGATCTGTTAAACCAATTTCTCAGGTTTCTAAGCCATGACGTTCTTCTTTGACCTGGCCCTCTTCTTCCGTCTACCTTGCCTTGTATTATTAAATTGAGTATATTATATCTCTCTGGGTGGCGCATAACATGGCCAAAATATACAAGTTTGCGATTTTTAACTCTTTTGATGACTTCCGTAACTTTTCCCACCCGATGCAAAGCAACTTTGTTACGAACTCTATCTACCCAACTTATTCGTAGGATTATCGGATACACCCAGATTTCAAACGATTCCAGTTTCTTGAGAATTGTATCCATCAAAGTCCAACCTTCGACACCATACAAAAGAATAGATAACACATAACATCTCACTAATCTAATTTTCAGACTTAAAGTAATATTGTTTCCACATAAGAGTTTATTCATCTTAAAGAATGCAGCTTTGGCCTTCTCTATCCGCATTATAATTTCTTTGCTTATATCCCAGTTCTCATTTAGATTACAACCAAGGTAAGTGATACTGTTACTTCTCTCCAGTTGGACACCATAAGCTGTTACTACTTCTGGTTGTATTGGCGTTTTACTGACGACCATCACCTTTGTCTTTGCGGTGTTTAGCTTAAGATCATATTCATCACGTGTTGTGGTAATCCTATTAATTAGATGCTGAAGTTCTTCGTAATTTCTTGAAACTAACACTGTGTCATTCGCATATCTTAAATTATTAATATTGACGCCATTCATTTTTATACCACATTGAACATTATCCACTGCGTTATTGAAAACGAACTCAGAATAGATGTTAAATAGTAGCGGGGACAAAATGCAGCCCTGCCTTACTCCTCTTCGTATTTGAAGCTCTTCATAAGTGTCCCGGCCAATCCTGATGTTTGCACATTGATGCCAGTAAAGATTTTTAATAATGCGTAGATATTTATCATCAATACCTACCTGCTGAAGAATGGCTATTATTTCAGTATGTTTTACTTAATCAAAGGCCTTCTCAAAGTCAATAAAACACATATAAACTGGATGTCCAACATATCTGCATCTCTGTACCATAACCTGAATACTAAATAGTGCTTCTCTTCGATCAGAATGGTAAGATCTCTTGTCTTGAGTTGGTCAGTAACAGTCTTTACATCGGCGTAGAACTTTTCAAGTTCTTCTAGTTCACTTTCTGCTGTCGGTGCATACACTTGTAATAAATTTATATTCTGGGTTTCGCGTTCAATGAATTATTATGACCCGTTCAGATACCTGAAATGTTAATGTACCTCTGTAATAATGTAATAAGGCGGACCCGAAGAACTACGAATGAAGAAGTAACTGAGAGTAATGAACACACCCCTTATCTGGTCAATACTATCAAAATTAGAAAGACGTCATATCTAGGACACATAATTCGCCATAGGGAATTTGAGCAGCTCTAGGTAATATTAGAAGGCAAGATTAAATGTAAAATGGGCATAGGGTGGAAGAAAAAATCTTGGCTCCGAAACATCAGACATTGAACCCACAAAAGAGGAAATGAATTATTTCATCAAGCCCAGAACAGAGAGAAATTTGCCATATTGATCGCTATTCGCAACAGAGAAGGCACTTAGGAGGAGTAGGATTCTGACAAACCCGTATGATTTGTCAGATTACTAAGAAGACTGTTACAATACTTTTAAAGCTAAAGAATAGGCTGACACTTTTAACATTTTAATTTTTGAACCCATCTGAGTTTTTAAATAACATACCACATTTCCAACGACACCTTTTTCCGAAGTAACCAGAATCAAATTCAGAATCAACTTCAAGAATTGTCCCAATCAAATCTATGGCGAGAAAAAGATTGAATATGGCGGAGTCGATAATGCTTTAAGGCTAGTATCAGATAAAAAAAAAGTAAAACAAATTAAAAAGTAAGTATAAATAAACATTTAATTTAAACAAATTTTATAAAATATAACTTATTAGTATGAAAGGGTTTATCTTGTTTTCGTTTCAGCTGTCAGCTTGTCAATAGCTTCTTTTCCTTTTTGTTGAATGGTCTCTCCAAGATCTTTTATTCCTTGTGCAGTTTTCTTAACAAGGTCGTTGTTCTAAAATTATTAAAAGCAAAACATTAATCATATTATAATACAAAATAAAAATAAAAATAAAGTACATAGCTAATGCTTATCACGCTATTATGCTTAAAATCACGATAATATGCTATGCCGATGATGCAGTACTAATTGCTGGTAATGAAGATGAGCAACAAAGGCAGCTCCATACCTTCAATATCACAGCAAGCAAACTTAATATAATAATATCAGTAGAAAAAACTAAATGTATAGTGATCAGTAAAGAGCCGCGTAGATGCAAACTAGAAATAGACGGCAAAATTGTAGAACAAGTAATTAAATTCAATTACCTAGGAGTAGAGATTACTAGTGACAGGGACCATAAGGCAAGCATCAAAAGCGGCAAGAGTAAGTGGTTGCCTCCGAGAAACCATATGGAGAAACAAATATCTGACCACGAAAAGCAAAATGAAAGTATACAAGACAACAGTAAGACCAATCCTAACATATGCTGCGGAGACACGAACCGATACAAGAAAGACGAAATAACAAATCAACAATATTGAAATAAAAGTATTAGGATCAATAGCGGGTATATCATTAAGTGACAGACAAAACAACAGAAATATACGCAAAGAATGCAAAATTCAAAATATTCACAGGTGGACAAAAGCAAAAAAACTGGAACGAACATGCAAACCGAATGGGACCAGATAGATTAGCGAACATCTGTAAAAACAACAAACCGTATAGCAGAAGACCCGTTGCAAAGCCGCCAAAAAGGTGGAAAGATAATGTACAGTCAACAACAACTGAAACAGAATAAGAGGCAGACAAACAGGAGTAATCCTAGTCGCACGAAGAAGAAGAAGAAGAAGCTAAGTGCTTGAAAGAAATTATAAAGAAGCTATTTGATTGGTTGAAATGTTTTTAAAAAGTTTTTTCTTTGAGTGAATGATAGAGAGATATGATGATTAACAAAGAAAATGGTTGAAATATTGTAAATATGTGTTAGTTAAATTCCCATAGAAACTCTAAACTGCAACAAATTTATAGTCCCAAATACTTTTAAAAAATGACTTACAAACATTGAAAAATGAAAAATTCTGTTAGAATTAAATGTAAGTGCTTCTACTATTGTTAGAAAGCTTCTTTAGTGTGCGTTTAAAGACAGAGTTTTAAAGCTTTTGATAAGAGAAGCATTGATAGAAGAAATGTTTCTACTTCTACTTTTGGAACATGAAGTAATATTAATGTTTGTGCTCATTACAAAGCGACAAATAACAAATTTTTTATCAACACATACATTTTTTATCTTTAGCCTCATATGTAAGATATTTCGGTGCTATTGCAGGGTGGTCAATATTATACAAAATAATTGGATTTTTAAAATGCATCTTCTGTTAAATATTTCCCTTTTTTAATATTTTTCATATCTTTACTAACCAAAAATGGGGCATAATCCTGTTTCTATGAGCTGTATGATTTTAAAGTCTATCAGTAGAGTGCTAACGTAGCTGTAAACCACCTTCTCCTTTATCCGGGCTTGCGCCCCGCAACAGTTCGAGCTACTCGATCCACCCAACAAACTTCAAGCACTCTCAAATTTTGGATGTAAGAGCACTAACATCAGCAAAAATAGGAAGTAATCATAAAGTGATTTTATACAAAATTTGAATGAAAACACATATATGTGATAACAAAACACCAGAATACACCAAAAAGATAATATCGAAAGCTTACAGGATAACCCTTCTTCTTCTTCTTCTTCTTCGGGTTCCTTCTCCTAGCGGAGGTTGGAAATCATCATCGCTATTTTAACTTTGTTGGCCGCATTTCTGAATAATTCTAATGAGCTGCAGCCGAACCACTCTCTCAAATTTCTTAGCCAGGACATTTTGCGTCGTCCTGGGTTTCTCTTCCCTTGTATTTTCCCTTGCATAATCAACCTCAGTAATACGTACTTCTCACCCCTCATTAAATGTCCCAGATATTGAATCTTTCTAATTTTAACAGTTTTTATGACTTCACATTCTTTCTTCATTCTTTGTAACACCTCTATATTAGTTACTTTTTCAATCCACGATATTTTATGCATTCTCCTGTAGCACCACATCTCAAAGGAGTTTAATTTTTTGATTTCAGACTGCTTTATTGTCCACGCTTCCATGCCATATAGTAAAGTAGAGAAGACGTAACAACGTAGCATTCTTGTGCGAATCTCTAGATTAAGGTTACGGTTGCAAAGTAATTTCTTCAATTTTATGAACGTGTTTCTTGCCATTTCTATTCTAGATCTGATCTCCTTTACTTGATCTCCATCTTCGGTTAGCCACGTTCCTAAATATTTATATGTTTTTACTCTTTCTATCGTTGTATTATTGATGATCAGGTTATTTACATTTTGTGGTTTTTTTGAGAATATCATTGATTTCGTTTTCTTGAGATTCATTTGCAGTCCGTAACTTTCACATGCATTGTATACATGTTGTATTATGTACTGTAGATCTTCCATGTCACTTGCAAATATGACAGTATCGTCGGCATATCTAATATTATTAATGCTATTTCCGTTGACATAAATACCATCCACGATTTTGTAGGATAACCCTACAAAATACCTATTTCAAACAAGAATAACCTAAAAAAGTAGAAACACATATATTACAGAAAGTGGTGGAGTCGAAGAAAGCTGGACAAAAATTAAATCTAATATCTCTCGAGTTCTTGATGAAAGAAATATAAATAAAAATAATTCGTTCCCAAGGAGAAGAACTCCATAGTTTTGTACAGATGTGAAGGAAAAATGTAAAGAAAAGTAAAAAGCTTACCTGAAATACATGTCAATCAAAACACAAGAGGCATACCATAATTGCAAGACTATTAAAACCGAAACACAAGCATTTGTAAGAAAAATAAAAAATGATCACTGGGAACGCTTTTCGAAAGAGATGAAACAGAATTTTTACGGTCTACCAAAGGAAATATGGCGCTTCATAAGAGGTCAAAGAACAAATCTAAAGAAACTAATGGAACAAAGAATAGAACATGGATACATAGATACATAGAAAAGAATACAACAAACACATTATTAACACTGAAATTAAGTACAGAATTTATAAAGCTAGTGTAAGAATAATAATGACATATGCCTTAGAAACAAGACCCGATAGAGCCACAACGCAGAGATAAAAGTACTAAGAAGAATTACAGGATATGTATAACTGAATGGAACCAAAATAGAAAAAAGAATGGAATAACTACATAAGCAGAATGAAGGAGACCCATGTCGTCAAAATATCAAGAGATGTCACCAATCGGCAGAAAATGTATTGGACGACCGCGCAAAAGATGAAATGACAACTTTCTATAGAGGTATTAATCCGCCAATGAACAATCAGAATTGCTGAAAAAGAGAAACAAGAAAAAAAAAAGAAAACACGCTGAATTTCTTCTGCCTAATATGCCTCGCTAGTATAATAAGCATCAGTGTACGCTAGACACGTAGATATAGCATTAAATGAGTCAGACAGGATCATCAGTGGCTGTTTGAGAACCACATATATACATAAGCTCTACCCTATCGTAGGTATAACATTAGCTGTTATCCAAATAGAATTATTTACAAATGTGGAACGAAAAAACCAAAATCTAGATTTACGAGAACTTAAATCAACCAAAACTTTCTTGCCAGATCAACATATCTTGGCCTCAAGGGAAAATTTCGTAGCCATCTTCCTTACCCTGTGTGGTATAATCTCAATCGTATGCGGGTCTGAGTGTGTAAGTATAAAATTATGTGATGACTGTGATACCCTGAGTAAAGGTCAGCTGGTATAAGATTAAACACATCTACTTAGCTGTCCTCCATTGGAGAAACATTGCGCTCTGCACGATCTCATACACGCAACTGACGCGATCATTTAGATCGTTCTTTGCTGGATGGACAAGATTTAATTGTTTGAGCTGGACGTGTAGAGTAACGTAAGTAATTTCTACACCTTTTTTACATTTTAGTAATTTATTATGTGGAAACTCGTGTTTTTGCTAGAAGCTTAAATATCTCTGAGATCTTAATTAAAATGGTATATACAGTATAGGTAAAAGTTTATGGTCGGTATGGACCTTACATGAGATGGAGTGAGAAAGAACTGTTTAAAAAGAGAGAGATATATTAGGTGTCCGCCTTTTATTTCGCCGAACATAAATGAGTGGATATGGAGTGGATATAATAAAAAGGGGAAATTCAACGTTGCCAAACTTATTGGTTTTATTTGACCTGTTGTCTTTTTCGCATTTGAACAATGCTCCAAGATGATGAAATTTGGGCGAAATGGATTTAAATGGCAGCTTATTGTTTTTTATTGGGAATATGCCACAATTTTTCTTTGCAATAAGTGTAATATAACATTTTGATTTATACTTCGGAAATCGTTTTATATAAATAAAATTTATTAATGTTTGGTATTTTAAAAACGATTTCCGAATTAAAAATCTAAACATCAAAATAAGCTTATTTTAAAGTGACATTATGCCTTATTTCCAATAAAAATATTAAACTGCATATAAATAAAAAAGCTTCGTACAAAACTATTTGCCAACGTGGCGTGTCGCGTGGTCAAATCAAAACGTACACAGGTATTTACGAATAGAGGTGGGTCATTGACGTCGCAAAACCGATTTTCGTAAACAAGTAACTATGATTTTTTAATAGTAGTTTCAAGTAAGAAACTACCTACATAAACAAACATAATGTTTATGTGTATATTTATTGAAGTGAATGAAACTAATAAAAGATTTTATTATAACTTGAAAACTAAACTAAACAATAAAAATAGTAAATCGTACCTACGTTTACATTACACGTTATTATTAAATCACGAATCGTCTAAATTGACATTTAAAAACATAAGTTTTTTACTTTACTTCTTATTAACCGTGTTTTTCTTTTATTTAAAATTAAACCTGATTTTGAACATGTGTTCACATTTACAATACTTTATGAATATAGTGGTTAAGTTAGGAGATACATGGCGATGGTTTTTCCACCATTGTAATGGACTCTCGCTACAAGTGTACGTTTAGATGAGTCATGTCCAATTAATTGATCAAAAATACACCATGGACTTAAGTCATCTTTATCGGTTTCTTTTTCTTATACTGGTTGATTTTCAATAGTACAATCTTCTTGTTCTTTAATTATAGAAGTAACCAGCTTCTTAACTTTCACCAGCTTCTTTCTTTTGTTTTTTTAGCGTCATTTTTATCAGAAAATCCCTGCACTTTAAATCGTGAATCCATAAACGTACATAATGACAATATGCCACTGTATTCTATCCCTCTAAATCTTTTTGCTAAACACGAGATTAGTAATTATCCCGTAATTAGTAATAAAAACCCGTACTACGTCGGATACTATGGATGTAAGGTTACTGTTTGCTAAAATTTTATTGCAAGATTTTTGCAGGCAACGTACCAGAACAATCACTGAACTATCATTCAAGTATTTTTGGCCACTCATTGTACTTGTTATTTCTTTAAAAGGCCGTAAAATTTGGGACAATTACGAAAAAATAATCCAGTCTTCATTATTTAGATTTGGTCTAAGTCTAAGTCTGTATTAACTGATACCAATGTAGAACGGATTGCCTCTTCTAACTCCGTCATTCTTTCTAACATGTAATCGGTGAAGTTCTACCTAGTTTCCACGTCTTGGATTGGCCGTTTGGGATCTTTGTTATGTTGCAATTGATACTTTAAAAGCGTTTCTGAAGATAAAATACTTTTTTGAAATGTGTTTTTTGCCGAATTGTCGAAAAAAAGACTTTTTATTTTATCTATTTGTACACGGCAGCATTTAAGTGCGTCCTCCATCAATAAATTTACCGTATGAGCAAAACAATTTAAATGTTTTCATTCCAAAACATATTTAATAGCTATGACCATATTTGAGGCATTATTATTTACTGCAAAATTTACTTTTTATTTTAGACCCCACTGAATAATAATTTCACTAATTTTAAAAGCGATATTTTCTGAATTATGGTTTCCAGAAAAATGGCAGCAGCCTAATAAAACCGTGTTAAACTCTAAATTTTCGGTTAAATTCGTTAAAATCAACTAGTTGATGGTTGAAGCTGGTTACTTCTATAAAAAAAAAAAAGAAAAAGAAGATTATACTATTGAAAATTAACTAGTACAAGAAAAAGAAACTGATAAAGATGACTTAAGTTCATGTAAATGTAAGTACTATTTGTATTGTTTAATTTATTTTTCAAGTTATAATAAATATATTCTTCGTTAGTTTCTTTCACTTCAATACTTATACACATAAACGATAATAGCCAATATGTTTGTGTACTCGCTAATTTGAATACTGATAAACAATCAACTAGTTACAGTTTACGAAAAACGGTTCCGATAAAAATTTAAAAAACTAGAGGACCCACCTGTAGTTTCTTAGCTTTATGAGGATCGGAACCACAGAATATGTAAAATATCTCTGATTGGAACTAATCGTCTCACTAACAGGCAATGGGCGTCAAGAAGATTTATGGAGGGGAGACCAAGGGGGAATATGATTGTTATCTTTGTCTATTCGCTGAAAATATGATTTTATATCTGTGTTAGATATCCTGTTAAGTTTTACCATACCGACCATAAAATTTTACCTACACTGTATATATATATATATATATATATATATATATATATATATATATATATATATATATATACTACTTACCGCAACTTTGTCGACGAATTCTTCAAAGCCAGCTTTCAATTTGTCTATGGTACCATCGATGGTTTGTTCTGCAGTTTGTTCATTCTTAGGGATTTCAGCAGCTTGTGCAATCTATAAAAATAAGAAGCAATACTTAACACTTGTAATACTACGCAATACAGTAAGATTTGTACCTAGACAGAAAGTTATATTTACAGGCACGATATACATAAGCTCAGTCTCGATATGTGCAGTATTCTTAGCGCAAGAATGATAGACAAACGCAATATATAATGTAGGTCAATCATGCATCCATGTCTCAAAAACATACCTATTTTAGAATGAATAACATAAATATATATGTGTAAATAACACAACATGTTTAATTGGATGATATATACTCAAAAAATTCTACAAAAATTGTCAACAAATATGAGTAATTAAAAATGTGATCTAAAAGAGACATTCAAGACAATGTGTTCAAGTATGAACGTGAAGTTCAGGAAAGAAGGCTTTTAGATCTTGAATATGTATGTTGTTCTTATACATAAACCAGAGAATTTGAAGGGCTATAAGCTGCATACTTAATATCGCATTCTCTATATCTTACTTCTTTTGCTGTGTGTTCAGTTTGATTTTTAATCTCAACAGCGTGGACATGAACCTGTGGAAATTCATTACTATAAGTTTATATCGGAGATATTTCAGATAAAAATGATTATTGATTGCATTGCTGGTTCATGCAGAAGAGATATGAACAGAAAAGAAAACGTTAGAAGAATATAAAACAACTCGAATACATTATTGTTATCATTATCAGTTAAAAAGAGATTATAAATGGCCATAAGCTGCAGGCTTAACAAGACATTCTCTATATCTTACTTCTTTTGCCGCATTTTCAGTTTGGTTTTTAATGTCAGCTGTATGGAGATGAACCTGTGGACGTATATTAATATAATTTTATATTAGAGATATCTCAAATAACAGTGGTTATTGATTTTGTTGCTAGTTCATGCTGAAGAGAAATAAAGAAAAAAAGATGAAATATTGTAAAAGAATATGATGTAAATGGTTCAAGTTTTTTTTAAAAAAGCATGTTAATATCTAATATTTTTTATATAGTCGAAAAATTATTAAAAACAATCTTTTTCAATTCGGCACGTGCAACATAAAATATGCTAGGTATAGATATAGAAACGGAGAAAAATAAGCAAAACTATCCCAGAAAGAATGGCAACGGTCATAATCACTACGCATCACTAAAGCATCTTGTTCTAGCGGTTATTTTTAATAAAACGGTCTCTATGAGAAGAGATATAAATATTTACAATTTCGTGTATAACCCATTGTCAAAAGCCATATTGTGAATCATGGTCACACTGTGTTTTGTTTACAGCTTTGGCTGAGTAACTGTTGAGTATTCCGGTACTCACTTCTTCGTCAGTAGTGTAACGAGTAGGTGTTTTCAACTTTGCCAGAAATTTTGGTTTAAAAAAAATATTTAGGTACTTATTCGTCTACATTATTGTTGTTTCCTTCAAAATAGTTCCCACCAAATGGTATGCACTTGTGCCAACGCTTCTGCTAATCCTTAAAACACTTCTCAAACTAGATCTTTGGGATAGCCTTTAGTTATGTCAGCGATGGGCTTTTAATGTCATCTTTGCTTGAAACGAAGACCCTTTAAAGTTTCCTATATTTTTTTAAATAGGAAAAAGTCACACAGAGCTGTGTTTGGCGAATATGGAGGCTGGGGCCTCATTATAATATTTTTTTGCTAAAAATTCACTCCATATTTAAATGTCTTTCGTGCTCTGTACATGATTTTTTTGTTTATAAATAAATATTAACCATTTGGTTTTTATAATAAAATTAAACATTTACACCTTAAAAAAAGAAAGCGAGAGTAAAAGAAAAAGAAAGAAAATTTTCAAAAAATATGAATGTTATAGACATGCAGTCTAGAAATATATATTAATTATCTACAGTTTCAGTGGCTTCCTTAACGGCAGCTTCAGTTTTGTTGCGAACATTTACAGCTTCAGTAATCTGTAAAAATTTACCTGTTGTTATCTACCTAATAAATATTTTTACAATTACAATAAATTAAAGATGTAAAACAATAACTTAAAGTCAGTGTTGACTGTCAACTTTAAATTCAGTCTAGGATAGCTGTACAAATAATTTTATTTTTTTAATATATGTAGGTACTACCAATATAGACCTAGTAAATTTTCAGTATTACCAGGTTCTGAACATAAAGCCAAATGTTTTTCAATTAAAACCATATGTTAAAACATCCATAAGTACGTTATAAATAAATATAACCTTTCAGTGGACACAATATATTAATAGTGAAAAAAACTAAGTTCAATATAAAGTATAGCTTCTACGTCGGTGTGTTATCATCTACATCAATCTTTCATCATCATCATGCAGCCTTCTTTATCAAAAATTGAGCATAGGCCGCCCGTAATTTGTTCCAGTTGTCTCAGTCTTGAGCTTTCTGCAGCCAATTACCAACGATTTTTTTGAAGTCGTCTATCCATTGAGTAGATAGTATTCTTTTTTTCTGTCTTCTATCTGATGGTTAGTCCACACTATAATTTTTTTACTTTTGACACTGAGTTCGACTTCAGTCATGCTATTCGCTCTATAACATATGTGTGACATATGATTCATGTCCTTCTTCTTATTTCTTTGTTTTTAACCCTGTGTTTGAGAATAGGTCTGTAGCAAATTTTCCTGCTAAACATGGGTAACTGTGCGAGGCAACATTGGCGCCGAAAGACAGGCTAGCAAGAAAACAGAAGAAGGTAGTTAGTCCGCTAATCTCCGTCAGAATGCGATTTAACTCTAAAGAAGAACACTTCCTACTTATTTTAGTATGTAGTTTTTTGTTATTAAACCATTAAAATAGTTAAACTATGCCTGGATTACCTTTCTTCTAGCAAATTTCCTACACTGGTGGCCCCGGCATTCGTTCAAATGTAAAGTGTCATAGCGAAGTTACTTCGGTATTTGTACAAGATTTTAGTACCTCTGCGAGTATACATTTTATATCAAAATATGTATAGATCATACATTATATATGAACAGACTATAATTTAAAGAGTACGCTAAGCACCAGAATTCAAATTCTGGCGTACCGAGCCAGAGGCAAGATTTTTTCGACTAGAAGCTCAATTTTAATAAGCAAAGGTCACCTTAGATATCTGTAAGTTTGACCGCACAGTGTCCAGCTTAACTAGTGATATATTATTAGAAATAGCAGACATAGTGAGAAACCCAATGTCAATGAATAATTAAAAGTCCGGCTTCTCAACAGATATGACACTAGCCCAGATGAAAGATCAACAGGTTGATGAAACTACCTCTGGGCGACCTAAAGCTCACTTCCATTAAGTTAAAGCTTTTAAAACTTGCTTACAATAATCGATCGTTTTACGAGATGGCCAGAGGTCATACTTATTGCAGAGATTACATCCGAAGTAGTCACACAGAAGCTTCTTGGGAGATGAATATCCCGGTTTAGTGTGTCAGCGATCATAAGTACAGACAGAGGTAGACAATTTGAGAATCAGTTGTTTTGCCAGCTCAATATAATGCTAGGAATATTAATTACTGCTATTACATTATATAATGCTCAATATAATGATAATTATATTAAAACTACTATCTATTAAATGAACAACGTACACAGTTTCTAGACACACAGATAGATAGAGTTGAAACGGGGTTAAAGGAAGTGGCGATGATTACCGTAGAAGAAATAAAAAACGCATTACAAAAAATGGAAAATAATAAAGCTCCTGGGCCAGGTGATTTACCTATCGAGTTATTCAAACATGCCACTGCAGTAACATTAGAATTGCTTTGTAAAATGTTTAACAAGTGCCTACAAGGAGAAAGTATCCCAAGAGATTGGAAAGTCTCGTACATAAACTCCATCTACAAAAAGGGAAACAGGAATGATTGCAGTAATTACCGAGGTATCAGCATTACGTCATCCACTGGCAAACTGTATGAAAGTGGATTCCGACTAGGGAGATCTTGTATCGACAATGTATTTACTCTCAAACACCTAACGGAAAAGAGATAACCTAGCAAGAGGACTAGAACTTTATGCCACTTATATAGATCTCCGTAAAGCGTTTGAATCCGTACCACTGCAGAGACTATGGACAACATTGGAAAACGCAGATATAAATGCAGTATACATAAATGCCGTGAAAAAGCTATATCAAGATAACCAAGCTTATATTAAGGTTGGAAACCAAATTTCCAAGGGTTTCACCCAAACAAAGGGTGTTAAACAGGGCTCTTGCCTCTCCCCAACCCTATTTAAAATATATCTTGGTAATGCTTTAAAACATTGGATGAGAAAATGCAGGCCAATGGGCATATGGGTAAATGACACTCCTATATATACAATCCTCTTCGCAGACGACCAGGTAGTTCTTGCCGAGGACCTACAAGATATGACGTACATGATAAACAAACTAATAGACGAATTCAAAAAATGGGGATTAGAGGTTAATACCGAAAAGACACAATACATGAATATAGGAGGCATCGGTCAAGACATGGAAACAGAAAGCGGATTAATTAAAAACGTTGATCAGTACGAATATCTCGGAGTTACACTAAGCAAAGACGAGAGAGACGACAAAGATATAAAAAGAGAAATAGGAAAAGGAAAAAACATGATAAAAACACTACATCCGATCCTGTGGAATAAAACTTTAACTAAGAAAACAAAGAAAAATATATATCAGGCTATGATTCAGCCGGTGCTGACGTATGTGTCAGAAGTGTGGGTCTTTAACAATAATATGTCACAAAAACTCCTCTCAACGGAAATGATGTACTGGAGAAGATGTTCCGGGTTAACTTTGTTTGACCACATAAGAAATAAAAACATAAGAGAGAGAATGAAAGTAAAGAACACAATAATGGATACGATAGCCGAAAAACAATTAAAATGGTATGGACACCTAAGACGGATGAACGAAGAAAGGATACCACGAAAGGTTTGGAACTGGAGACCTACACAGAGAAATAAAAGGGGAAGGCCAAGAAAGAAATGGATATCCAATATTCATATAGAAATGGAAAATAGAGGTCTTGAAGAAGGAGACTGGGCCGATAAGAAATTATGGCGATTGGGATGCGAGAAGCGACAAAATTAAAGTTGCAAACACTCGCTATTTATATATATATATATATTATATATATATATTATATATATATATATATATATATATATATATATATATAAAACTACTGCCTACCACCCAAAGTCAAACCGCACACTCTAAACCAGCTGCGCATACCGCCGCCGATAAAGTATTTTATGTTAAAGCCTAAAGTTATTTTGATCAGTTAGGAGTTGGAGTAGCGATAATCTATACGACTTTTTGTCATGCTGGCGGTTAGTGCTGAATTTTTGTCTAAAATCTGCCTTTTAACTAGGTTGGTAAACACCTAATTTTGTTTCTAGTCTCTTTGTTATTATTCTTGTGAATAACTTGTAGAGCTAGTAACAGGGTCGGTAATTCTCTAGGTTTTTTGGATAGCCCTTTTGGTATAATAAAATGGTAAGTGCACTGTGACATCTTGTAGGTGTTTTATTTTGGTGCAGTTATAAAATAAAAACAGTTCTTTTATATTCTCTAAAAGTCTGTTTCGTCCAATCTTTACGGCGTCTATAACGATATGAACTTCTTCATGAGCTTTATTTCTTTTTATTTTTTTAGTGCATTCCTTATAATCTGTTGATATACCAGGCATCAATTCTCAGGCATCAAACGTAAACCTTGCATAACGGATTTTACGCCAGGAGCTTTACGTAAAGTCCACTGCACGGTTATATTTAAAAAAACCTTCAGTATATCTGTTACGGGGTGGAATTATTTGCTTAATGGAGAAACATACCATAGTATGTTATACGTAAACAAGTGTTAATTAGAATAATCTAATCATTTGAATAATAAAAGCAACGTAAAACTAACAGAATTCTTGGTACACGATAATATTTAGAATTAGTGTTATGTACTTAAAAAAAAGGACCTGATAAAAACTATAATGAACTATAAATTAAACTATAATGAAATTTATCTACATAAATACACGTGTTGACCCCAATCAAGACGGATCCAAAAAAACTTGATACGCATTAGATTGCCAAATGATATTACGAAATGTTCTTCAAATAAAAAACCAAAATATTGCTCATTTATTTTAATATAATATTCTTAATAAAATTATATTCTATATTCTAACATCACTCTATCTAGTAAAAGGTACATAAAAAAATACCAAAATTAAAACATAACATAACCATAAAAGGAAGAAATAGATGAGGACTGACTAATTCTTACATTAGTGACACACAATTTGGCTTTAGAAATGGTATGACTACAAGAGATGCTTTGTTCGGCTTGAATGTGCTGGCTCAGAGATGCATGTACATAAATTAGGGTATGTACTTATGTTTTATAGACTTTGAAAAGACATTTGATAAAGTTCAACATAAAAAAGTTGTAGATATATTAAAAAGCAAAAATATTGACAGTCGTGATCTGAAAATTATATCTAATTTATATTGGAATCAAACTGCCAAGGTAAGAGTTGACAGCCAGTACACCGAAAATATCAAAATACAGAGAGGAGTCCGCCAGGGTTGCGTGCTGTCCCCACTACTTTTCAATGTCTACGGTGAAGCGGTATTTCAAGAAGCGCTCTCAGACTCAATAGAAGGTATATCTATCAATGGAGAAGTTTTGAATAACTTACGTTTTGTAGACGATACAGTAATAATTACGGATAACAACAATGATTTACAGAACGTAATGCAACGCCTTAATGAACGCTGTCATGAGTACAGACTGAAGATAAATTTAAAGAAAACTAAATGCATAATCATGAATAAATCTGCATATACAAATATCCAATTGACTATTGAAGATACTGCAATTGAGAATGTTAATAACTATAAATAATTAATAATAATAATTATAATTACAACTTATTATGCAGGGCAAAATCCGAGAAAAGCGAAATGTGGGAAGACGAAGAATATCCTGGCTTAAGAACTTAAGGAAATGGTTTGAATGCAGTAGTGCAGAACTTTTTAGAGCGGCAGTCAACAGAGTCCGCATAGCCATGCTGATTTCCAACCTTCGATAGAAGATGGAACTTAAAGAAGAAGAAGACTAATTCTTAAAAACAGACTACCTTCAATTTAAATAGTTCTATTTTGAGTCAAAGTGCAGTAATAGTGACTAACGAAGAGTTCAACGAATAATATTATAATGAAAGCAAACATATAGCTATGTGCTCGTAGGCACATTAGGGATAGAATATTGGCTTAAAGTTCGATACTTCTGGAATAATATGCACATAGGGCAGTATTCTATACGAAAACTGCATTGCACTAAAAAAACCTCTAGTTCAAAGAGTAGAGTATTCTCTAAAACCAAAAGTTAATGCTGGGTGCATTTCTCGATATAGAGGAATCATTCGAGAACACTCATATGAAGCAATCACAAGCGCAATTCCACTGAAAAAACAGACAAAACAAGCTACAGCTGAATAGACAGCGTCGATACTAAATACAGTATGGACACTACCTGGGGTAATTTCGGGGCGTATCTAGTAGATCTGCAGTTACCACAGCCGGTCCCAAGCCCCGATAAAATGTGGAGGGTGATTGGCAAGGTTAGCAACCTAGCAATTGTAAAAGAACTACTGCTTAAAGAAACGATGAAAGCCTCGAAACCGGATTGATAATATGAAGATTACTACAGCAAGAAATAAGGACAAGAGGAAAATATCCAAAACTCAGATGAGAGTAAGTATATAGAACATTAGATGGCTCAACACAAGAGGCCAAAAAATAATTCAAGTGCTAAACAAGAAACAAACAGACTTTACAGAAAACAAAAAAGAAACGAAAATGGCAATCAAAATTAGTTTGGATATAATATCTGTAGTAGGGTTCCAAGGAAAGCTGGCCCAAAGAAGGTGAGCGATACTAATACACCGCAAGTACCAAAATCAGATTAAATACTGTCAATACGTATTAGAACAGCAGGTAAAATTAAAAAACACTCCAACGCTATGAAAAATGGAAAGACTCCAGGACCGGGGGGAGTACCCATTGAACTGATTAAATAACCCTGACAAACTAATTCAGCTATTGGCTTATACTTTTAATTTATTCTTGAGAGGAGAAAAGCTATCCCCAGAGTGGAAAACTGCATATATTAGCAATCTATAGAGTCTATGGATAATTAAAAGCCGAATTGAAGATTGTTGGGAAGACGCTGAAGATCAGAGTTGCTTTCGTACTGTCGTTCTTGTATAGACAATGTGTTCTGCCTAAAACAAACAATAGAAAAGCATTTGGAACATAATATGGAGACACACGTGGTATTTATTGATCTTCAAAAAGCGTATGACAGTGTCCCATTAGCCAAGCTATGGCAGGTGCTAGAAGACAAGAATATTCCACCGATTTACATTAATTGAAGATGGAACATAGACTCTCTTTCTCTTTTAACAAAGTAAAATGTGGTAATCAGGGGACAAAAATAAAAGATGAACAAACCAATAAAAATGAGACACATTCAGAAGGAAACATCAGACCCGAAAAATTACAGAGGAATTAATTTATTACACAACACTAAAATTGCCAACCAAAGTGATAAAAAATAAGGTAAATGGAATTATAACACCAACAAAAGAACAACAAGAATTTATATCGGAAAAAATATATACCGCTGCTATATTTAAAATGAGGCAAGTACAAGAAAACTTATAAGAATACAAAAAACCAGCATCTTTATGTATCGCCAACATAATAAGGCGTTTGGCAGAGTCAAATTATTGTTACTTACTTATTGTACGCAAATAAGTTTCTTCTAGGAATAATAAAAATGATTGAAAATATCTACATTAATAGTAAAAGTGGAACAAAAATTAACTGACGTTCTTTTTACGAGATAATATTTTGGGAAACCAGAAAAAAGCTTTTGGTGAGTGTGTGAAGATTGTAAGAGACACACATTTTGGCATTATGGGAGTAACAACTACTGTTAGTACATAACACCAAAACGAAAAAAACAGCTAAAATGGTGGGGAACGTTAAAATAAAAAAAAAGTTGAAATAAAAAACCAAAAATATAAAGTTCGTGAAAAGAGTTGGACAGCAAAATCAAAAAAGATCTGATAAAAATGCTTAGGAAGGCACGTAAAAAGAATAATTTTTAAAATAATTTTCGATGGTAGGTAAAGAATCAAAATAATTAAAAATGTTTAAAACAAGATATGACAGCATCAATTAAACTTTTCCGACTTTTTAAGTGAAATTGTAAGCATTTGAAGAATATTCTTACTCTGCCATGCCATTTTTCTACAAACGAATCGAATTTTTGGAACGTATTTTTAAAAAAATATAAGTTTAAAAAAATTATTTATAAATACAATATCACAAAAACAATACGGTAATACATATTTATATAGATTAAAAATTAAATTATTAGGTACTTACATATACAGCTACGAGGAAGAATGTAAAGAAGAAGGCCAACTTTGCTGCCATTTTTAGCTTTGGTTTAATCTAGTGATGTTTTGTATTCAAGCGAAGCACTGAGAGAACAATGACAAAGTTTATTTTATTCTCTCACTATGAAGGCATGTAATCAGCGTTGGTACACTCAGTTTCACAATATTGTTAAGGATACTTGGCAAATTTGTTTCTAGTGTTAACCAAATTGGTTTTTCGATCGACTGTACCGTAATTTTTTAATGAAATAATCGCAAAATCAGAAAATACTTATAATGTTAACATTTCGAAAACATTAAGGTTAACTAGAAATAATAACAATTTTGTTTGTGTTCAGTTATCTGTACATACAACCTTATATTCTTGTAAATGAAATTATCAAGGAATGTTAGTTATTGATTACAACCATCAAATACAAAATATACACTCATTAATGCTATATGATAAGGATTATTAAAGAATTTATGGAAGCACTAGTACAGAAAACAAAAGATACCACTGTCAAGTTTTCTCTTGAGGAATGAAACCGATTTCTAAGGACTCTAAGAACAAATATGAAGATTTATTAAAATAAAGAGAAAATAAATAAGTTGGCATGTAGTGACCAATATTCTTCTTCTTACGGTGCCTATCCGTTCCCGGATGTTGGCGATCAACATGGCTATCCTAACTTTGCTTGCTGCTATTCTGAATAGTCCGGTTGTCGATGTATTAAACCACTTTCTCAGGTTTTGAAGCCAAGATATTCTTCTTCTCCCTGGTCCTCTCTTTCCAAATACCTTGCCCTGAAGAATGAGTTGCAACAAGCCGTATCTCTGTTCATTCCTTATAAGATGGCCAAGATATTCTAGTTTGCGCTCTTTGATGGTGTTAATAATCTCGCATTCCTTGCCTATTCTACGTAGGACCTCAACATTAGTCACACGATCTACCCATGAAATTCTTAAGATACGTCTGTAACACCACATGTCGAATGCCTCGAGTTTTCTTAAGGAAGCTTCGGAAAGTGTCCAGGCCTCTACTCCGTATAATAAGGTAGAAAATACATAGCATCTAGTAAGAGAGATTTTGGTAGCAAGTGGTAAATCATAACTTTTGAAAAGAGACTTTATCATTATGAACGCTGATCTCGCTTTTCTTATGCGTTGTTTTATTTCACTGGAGTAATCCCATTGGCTGTTAATGTTGGTACCAAGGTATGTATAGCTATCCACTATGTCAATTGGATGTTGGTTAACCAAAAGCTATTTAATATTTCGCGCTTACTGGCTACCATGTACTTTGTTTTCTTCGGATTAAGATCAAGTCCGTGTTCTCTACTTATATGTGATATATGCGACATTATTCTTTGCAAACCGTCCAGACTATCTGCAAAAACTACTGCGTCGTCGGCATATCTAATGTTGTTTAGACGCATTCCGTTGACTAATACGCCTTCTTGTAGCTCTTCCAGCGCTTGCTCGAAGATATATTCAGAGTATATATTAAATAACACCGGGGGCAGAATGCATCCTTGCCTCACTTCTCTATCTATGGAGATTTCCTCTGTCAATTGATCATCCACTTTAATATTGGTGTTTGGTTGTAATATAAATTATAGATGATTCTCAAGTCTTTATCATCTAACCCCACATCTTTCAAGATATTTATAAGTTTATCATGTTTTACTACTAGATACCTTTAACTAAAAAGGCATCAAATGCCTTTTTGTAGTCGATAAAACAAATATACACATCGCAGTTAACATCTCTGCATCTTTGCGTAAGCACTTGGACAGCGAATAGAGTCTCTCAGGTGCCTAAGGAATCGCGGAATCCAAACTGCGTCCATGATACTTGTTCTTCGCATTTTTTATATATTCTGCCGTGTATCACTTTCAAGAACGTTTTAAGTAAGTGGCTCATTAGGCTAATTGTTCTGTAGTCTTCGCATGTCTTGGCATTTACTTTTTTTGGTATGGTCACGAAGGTCGACTTTAACCAGCTTTGGGGTATTTTTCCAGTTACGTATATGTTGTTGAATACAGTTGTTATCCATTTTATTCCCTGTTCATCCATAAGTTTAAGGAATTCTGCACAAAACTCGTCAGGCCCTACCGCTTTACTAACTTTAGTTCTTTTAATAGCTAACGTGACTTCTTCAATGGTAATCGGGGGTCCTGTTTGGCATTCAGTGTCTTCAATGGTAGTCTGCCTTTCATCTGCAAAAGTTACTTCCACATAATTCTTCCAAGTGTCCAGTTTTTCTTCCACGGTTAACAGTTCTTTGCCTTGGTTATCTGCCAAATACCCAACTCTTCTAGCTTTGTATAAGCCTGCGCCTTCTTTAACTTTTTTGTGCGTATTAAATGTATCGTGTTTATGTTGCAATTGCTGTATTTCCGAACACTGTTTTCTTAGATGTGTATCCTTAGCTATTCTAATAGCTTTTTTGATCTTTTTATCGATTCTTTTGTTCATATATTAATATCTTTTATATCGTGACAAATATAAGAGATATTAATATATGAACCACTTACGCAACTGCTTAGGACCAGAAAAATAACCTCCAGAAATATTTAAGGAAAATATACCACCACTTATTGTCACCAACAAAAGAGATCAAAGAGTATTAGAGAAATTGTAAAATCGAGTGTCTCTCTAGTTGAGATTTAAATGAACTGTTAAAGTATGATAGAAATATACTCACTTACTATCTAAGAATACTCATACAAAAAAATTTCATATGCTACTCAATATTAAACTGTTGACATAGCACCACGATTTTAATGACTATAAAAGAAATTCGAAAATTCATCATCATCATTTTGGCTTTACAACCCTGTGTGGGTCCTAGCCTCCCCAAGAATTCTCTTTCAGTCGTCCCTATCCATCGCCTTCCTCCGCCAAGCACGTATTTCCATATTTCTCATATCTTGGTCTATGTTATCTAGAAATCTTGTTCTGGGTCTTCCTCTTCTTCTTTGACCAATAGGTCTATCAAGGAGCGTTTTTCTAGCTGGGTCGGTTTGCTCCATCCGCATTACATGGCCTACCCACCTCAGACGTCCTATCTTAATGTGCTTTACGATATCTGGTTCCTGGTATATTCTATAGGGTTCGAAGTTGTATCGTCTTCTCCAGACACCATTTTCATTTACCGCTCCATAGATTCGCCTCAGTATTTTTCTTTCAAAACATCCTAACATGTTTTCATTGCTTTTTGTTAAAGTCCAAGTTTCTGAACCATATGTTATGACTGGGAGTATTATTGTTTTGTAGAGTTTTACTTTTGTATTTCTTGATATAACTGTAGATTTAAAAAGGAGATTAAGGCTAAAATAGCATCTATTAGCCGTGCAAATTCTGCGGTTTATCTCTGCGGTAGTGTCATTTTCAGTAATGACGAGCGTTCCCAGGTATAAAAATTCGTTAACTGCTTCGATGACGTCGTTTTCTATAACAAGTGGCCGTCGTATTTGTGGTTGCGGACCTATTTTCATGTATTTCGTTTTATTAATGTTTATTATTAAACCCATTTTTGTAGCCGCTTCCTTTAGGGCTACATACGCCTCTCGTGCTGCGTTTTCCGTTCTCACAACAATATTGATATCATCAGCATATGCTAGGATTTGCACAGATTTGTTATATATTGAAACCTAAGTTGTGATTTGTGACAAACGTATTACTTTTTCCAAAGCTAGATTAAATAGTACACAGGTGAGTGGGTCTCCCTGACGTAGCCCGTTATTTGTGTTATAAGGTTCAGAGAGTTCCCCCTGGATTCGTACTCTGCATTCAACTTTTTCAAGGGTTAGTTTGGTTAGACTTACCCACAGATTTGGTACTCCCAGATCTATCATTGCTCTTAAACAATTCTCTTCTATTTACAGAGTCGTAGGCTGCCTTGTAGTCTATAAATATGTGGTGCGTGTCTACACCGTATTAAAGTGTTTTCTCTAGAATTTGTCTCAGGGTTGAAATTTGATGAATTGTTGATTTACCACTCTTAAACCAGCCTGGTATTGTCTTATTATTCGCTCTGCATACGGTGCCATACGATGGCATAATATATTGGAGAATATTTTATACGCTGCATGTAGGAGCGTAATTCCTCGATAGTTAGAGCATTCAAAGATATCTCCCTTTTTGTGCATGGTTCAAAGTATTCCAATATTCCAATCACTGGAAAGGGACTTCTGTATCCATATTTCTTTTATAAGCTGCTGTAGCGCTATTATGATATCGTCGCCACCTTCTTTATATAATTCTGCTGGAAGATTATCTATTCCGGGTGATTTGTTTCTGGCTAGTTTGTTTACAGCGTCTTTAACTTCCAGGATCGTTGGTGGATTCTCCTCCCTCTCGTCTGCTCCGCTTACCTCACAGCTTTCGTCTTCCGGGTTTTCTTCTTCCTCCTCTATATTAAGTATCTGGTTAAAATATTCCGTCCATCGATTTAGTACGTCTGTTCTTGTTGTTAACAGATCGCCATTCAAACTTCTACATTGATTTGTGTTTGCCTTGAACTCTTTTCTGTTGATGTTAACTTTCTTATAGAATGTTATGAATTCTTTCTCTACCCGAAAATTACATAAGAATAAACCCGTTTAGTACTGATTAGCATGAACCCGAACCTGCGATTGGAGTATCCTTTAGTACTAGCTGGGGTAGTCTCAAAGAGCTTCTTTTGCGGATGTTCCAGGATTTCTGGGCCAATTGTGGAGGTATGAGACAGTCTAGGCTCCACATAGAGGGGCTATTTAAAAGTCTTCTAGCCCAACTTTTTCTTAAGATGATTCAAAATGCTTGGCGGTACCTTTATCTGCTTGAATTGGCGAATGGTCCATAGTACCGTGTGTGTAATGGGAGGGGGAGAAACCTCCTCACATGTCCTCTGAAAGTGCTTGGCACTGGTATATTAGGGGTGACATATTACAAAAAACTTATGGTTTTCTGTAATGCCACAATTTCACTAAAGTATTAGATGCTCGGAATGGCAGGAAGAGCTTGGATTTTAAGCCCCTGTTGATTATAGCAGATATGAGATCCCAGAGCAGTCTAAGCTCCAAAAACGACGACGACTAGGGCCTTATGGGTCTAGTAGGCATGATAAGG